AGACTCGGCCTCCGTTTGCTGGTGCCGCGACTCCTGTCCGTGGTGGGCGCATTGGGCACCGGGACACTGCGGCTGACTGGTGCCAGAAGTGCTGAAGCATTGCATTCGCATGAATTACATGCGTGCAGATTCATTCAAGACAATGATTGGAGTTAAGCATGTGCTGCACTCACATACTCGATTTAATTTAGTGCAAACGATGAAGAAGCACTTTTCTTTTCAACTCTGGCCCAGTTAGTTCTCAAACGGTAACAGCTCACGCTTTAATCAGACTGAAATTTATTCTGAGAGCTGACCGAAATTTTAAAGCGGACGTTTACCCGTATTCAAAAATTCTAATTTAAACACAAACCTTAAACACAAGAACAAGTGCAACCACAGCAGCACCATTTGTCTCAGTTGGTTCGCGTCTGAGATATGCAGAACTGGGCAAAACTTGTAAGCTCTGAATAAAGTTTCAACATCATTAACTGTCTGTCGAAAAAATATTCATGGTTTTAGTGCCTGGAAGTGGACAAGGGAGCGTGAACAAAGCATCCACACGCTTAGCTATCTCACGGATCCCTACTTAATTGGTTTAAAATAATTTAGTGAGCAGAAGTTTGTACCTTTACCAAGTCCCAAATCAGTATTTTCCAAAAACACAAGGCGAAACTCTTTTTACTGTTGCTAGTAATATAATCTTTTGGTTTCTTAGCATATCTTAATTATTTGGTCACCAAAGAAGGAAATATTACAGTCTGATATGTGGGCGAAATTATGGCTTTTCTAACACTGATGCAAGAAATAAAAACCTCATTCAAAGAGACTAACTTCAGATTTCTGTCTGCATGAGCAATTTCGGGTAGCTGAACCGTAGTGAGATCACGATTAACAACCACATAGTTCTGCTGTTGTTGTTGGCCTTGACGTTGTTGCTGTTGCTGCTGCTGCTGCTCAATTAGAGCTGTATAATTAAAGAAAAATTCAAGTAGATTAGAGGAAAGAATTAGGTTGGGAGAAAAGTGATTTGTTCCTGAAACAAAAGACATCGCGAAATCAAATCAACGGTAGTGGATGCTCCTTATAAGGAAATGCACTTTTGTTTGCTGTTCCTCTACACTTGCGTCAAACGATGGTTCAGATCGGACAAATTAGTTAAATTGGATGCATCTCAGGAATTTTAGCTGCCTATAGTACAAACTTTATTTTCAATTTTTTAATACTTTTTATTGCCATTTGTAAGTAACAGTTTCATTAATAACTCACGTTTGGTGTTTTGATGCAGCCGAAAATGCCAAGATTCAAGGTTTAGCTTTTCTTGAATCTGAACAGACTAAAATTTCTCGGTTTATGCCCATGCCTTTTCAGGTTTATTAACGCGGTTACCGTGCTATGCAATGCCAAATGACTAGTGCTAATGAACGACTATGCTACTGAGGAAAATTAGTTGCAACTGACACATTAACAATGACAGACTTTGGACCTATAAATATAAATCCCTCAAACTGAAGTTGAATATTTTGAAGAACGTTTTTGATAATGAAATAAAATTGACAAATGAACTGATCAATGGTTTAAACAAAATTCTACCATGGGGACAAGTTCTGCTGACAATATCCATTTCTTGACTGATTCAGACTGCCAAGAGTATGATGCGAAACATATAAAAGAGGGTAAGGTCATTAGTTTTAGCAAACACTAATTTATTCGGATGATTTCGAATCGAAGTAAGGTATTAACAAGGCCGCCATAATGAATCCATTGAGATCCGAACATCCAATCATCTAAAACATCTACAAACTTTGATATTGTAGAAATTCTAGAAATAGCTGTTTAAAGTTCCATTTCATGTAAACAAAACTAAAAATACACAACGTTTTGCCTATATTTGAATTCAACACTTGACCTATCGCTGCGAGCCTAGCAGCGCTGTTTATTTCACAAAGGAACACTGTGGTAAATATTTCGAGTTGGGGGATAAAATGACGAAAACAGATTCCTAGAAGTTAGGGTTTGTTTTGCACTCCGACAAGGCATGTTTCCGTGGTATTTAAACTTGAATTTATGAAATTATTCCCCAAGGACGGATATATCCTTAAAATGAGTAAAACTGTGGACACCTAAGAGTTTGGAGTGTTTAATGTGTTGCACGCTCTAAAGTATGGTGGGGCACTTATGATTTGTAGAAGTATCGCAATACATCTTCAAACTTGTGACGACTAGAGCAATTGACTAAAACTCAGAACTGGGCAATCGCACAGCTGTTTTTTTGGAAAATACCAAAACTGGGCTTTTCATGAGTTTATGGAAAAACGCGTTGTTGACAGCAAGGGACGTTGCAATGTTGTTTAACTTGGAACGAAAAGTCAAATTCTTAGGTATAAGGCGTAAGTAATCCAAGAGAAATTATGATAGTCAAATTAATTGATTGAATTACACAGACCTTGAGAACTTTAATGCACATCAAAATATGTATAAGTTAATTTTTTTACACGCACGCAACATGATGGTCTTCTTTATGTCCTGTCTGTCTTTTTGAGATTGTGGGATATTTAAGAAAGAGTTATTGAGTGCAATATTATGCGGGGAAAAGCCTCATGACATGCTTGTTTCTAAGGAACATACGTGGTTTGATAAGAAAAACAACTATGAGTGAACTAGTACTTGGATGCAACTACAAAGAGTTTCCATGTCATGTCAGGTATTGTAAAATTCCTCCTAACGATTCACTGCTTAATACATAAGGTGTGAGATATGGCTAGTTTTCTTTTTTAAGAAATAGGTATGAGATTCACTAAGGTACTTGCGTTGTTTTCAGAACAGCCATGGCTATTAAATTTCACATTGAACGTGGAATCTCAAGTATAGACTACACCTTTGCTGCTGTTTAAATAAGGCTAGTGATTGCACAAATGCCTGGACAAATATAACTCAGGGGACAGTTTTCCACCAAAATCAAACTTTGCTAAAGTGGATAAAATTAACGGTTTTTCGAGGCATCCCTCCAACATCTTTATTGGCTATTCAGATTACTTGGTCGCATATATTTACCAAAGGCATTCGGCTAGACAATCACTAATTAGAAATTTTGGTTTTACCATTGGCAGTTATACACTTTAGTGGAAGGCGCTGAATAATCACACATTAATCTTAACTACTAAAATTAAAAACTTAGGATTTCTGAGGATTCAGAGCAAAATTAAGAGAAGAATTTATGTGAAAACCTATAATAGTTCCCTAATTTTTTTGAAACGGTACTAAGGACTTTAGTAGTCTGAAGCAAAAGCCACAATAGTCTTAACGCCACCCTAACCCTCTCTCGTCAGATGGTTTGTCATCCATAATAATAGCCCTTTATTTAAAACAAAGGCTACAACAGCAGGCGTTGGCAAATGGTAATTAAATCGTTTTTCATTTAATTATACAATTGTATACAGACAAAAACCAGAACTTATTCATAAATTATCTTTCTCACAAACACGTAAAGCTTGCACACTTTGCTAATCGAATGGCAAGTATGATACGCAATCTTTGAATTGGCTAAAAACCAGTTTATTCGATGAGGACAGCCAAGTAGAGAAACCACTGAAAGGGGTAACGAGTCAAGCGGTAGCCTTACTGCCAAACAAGCTACTAGAAGTGCCGTAGTCTTGAGGTTCAAATTACAAATACTGGAAATATTTAAAATATTTTAATTTAGTCAAAGGAAATAACGCTTATGGCACTATTAGGCTCATATAACATCGCACAATGCGTTGTACACTTTATGATTAGACGCGTGAGACTAAATAAGTTATAGTGATTTAAGCGAACCTTAAAACACTAAAAATGAGTTTAACATAAATCTAATGAAGTAAATTTCATGTTCTCTAACCGCGTATGTCCCAAGTGCCATTATATTTCGAGCTCTTTTTACTATTTACTTCGCCAAGTATTACGGATGGAGGAATTTCAGGTGGAGCGATACTTCTGTTTTCGCCATTTGGCATTTGTTGCCAAGTTTTGAGTGCAGATGAAGATTTTCGTAATGTTAGCTGCTAAAGTGGAAGGCAACAAAAGTAATCACTTAATGGATTTTTGAACCCAAAACTGATAGTAGCTTTAATCTGACGGCCGTGTATTCGTCGAGAAGCCCGAGATAAATTTCAGCCGCATAGCAAAGCTTGGCATACTTTTCGACTTGTCTCGACCGGGGTTTTTGTCTTTTCGTAGAATAAATCCGTAAACTGACAACAATTCCCAGTAGACATCTTCAATACTACCGTGCCCTTCAGTGGACGGAAGTTAAATCCCTTTCTTGTGGGCAGCGGGTTAGGAAACAGGAAATCGACAGACCTTGATGCAGCTCGGGCGGACAGGTGCAGACGAGCTCTCCCGGTCGGTGACTGGACGGCGGCTTCTGGGTCCCGTCGCACGAGGGCGGGTTGTGGGGTGGATGTGGGTGGCCGGCGCGCGCTGGCGGCACCAGCACCGCGGCTGACGCGACGCTCGACGACGTCTGCACAAGCTACGGGCACACAACGCATTTCTGTGAGCATGCATTTAACACATCTAAAGGGAATCGTTCATTTTCCAGATGAAAGTACTAATCGAATCAGGAAACCATGTTTGACTATTGGTGTCCTGCGGTGTGACCCATGCATGAATGTACATGTGGATATGCTGGGTGAGTCATAATTTGTAAACCACTTCATAGGCAATCACTCTTTTCAGGCGCAAGTCTGTCCAACGATTGAGTTAGCTAGAAAAATTGGTATATAGCATCAAATTTGAAATATACGTACAAATGAACGATAAAAGTTATCAGTCTACTTTCGCCCTCGACGTGTGCACTTTGATCAAGCAAAATGAATTTTTTTATAGCGATCGACCGCTCCATGATTTGTTGTTCTAATAAGGATCGTGTAAAACACCATTACAGTCAAGTAATGTAGTTGTCAAATTTTAAATATTATTGCATAGCTGTGATCCGACAAGAATTGTCTGATTTTTGTGATTTTATTGTTATAACACAGCACCTTTGGAGAGCACATGTTTAAATTACCAAAAGAGTTTCTTTTGAAACTGACCTGTCTACCGAGTAATTACACTAATTTAGAAGGATGTGATAAAAACTTTGTGAAAAAGAATAGTGAACTGGCGTATAAATGGCTGTGAGAGCCTTAATAATGACTGCTGGCCGGCCGCACTCTAATGAGGCCGTTTCGTGCTTCATTTTACCTTAATCGGATTTGAATATTTTCAACTAATTATACAAAATCATTGATATTCAGTTTGGTTAACTGAAAATGACTCACGAAATTTTGTGAATAAATGCCTGGTTCCCACAACATGCTAGGATATTCAATTTTTTTCACGCATGCTTACTTGCCTGTGTGGAATGTTGCTGCTGTTGCAAAAGTTGCTGAATTTGATGTTGCTGAAGTAGGGCATGATTGGAAGGAACAGCGTAGAGAACCGCTGGCTGGTTTTGGGTCTTCCTTTGGGGGTCTTCTCAATATAAGGAAAACAACAAAAATTCGCTTGCTTACAGAATTGGGCACAAAGCCACCAGGTATGTAAAAGGCATGGCTAGCACTACACACTCTCCTCCCATACAGGTATCAGTTCTTGATTTCACAATTTTAACGAGTCCATATATATTAACCAAACTCTTAAGTACTTTTAAAGTGTGTACACCATAAACACAATGGGTTGATGGTCGGAAATAATGTAGTTCGGTATAAAAACGAATACGTCACTGAATAAGTTCTAACAAACGAAGCTTGCCATATTTATTACACAATTTACATAAACCATCGAGTCCATCTAATGCCTCAATACGCTTTCACAAAAGTGATTTAACATCGTTCTTCAAAAGGTTAACGTGTAAAATTAAGTAGAATGTTGCATGCTTGAAATAGTACAGGCAGAAAAATGTATTTGTGTCCCATGACTGATTGATGCCAGTTTGTCAGTAAAAGAACTATTTAAATAGCGAGCGTAGCATCGAAGGAGTGCGTTCTTTGCGTGAATTGGCCACCGTTTTTCAATTCCGTGGCAGACGCACCCACCTGTAACGCAGCCACCACGTATCTACGTTTCTGCGTGTTTGCGCATTGGTCGTGGCACATTTGGGCGCATGTGCTAATGCAGCCAAGCGCCAGACATCAAGTCGCATTTATCAACGTGGGGACGCGATCAGCCATGCCACATGGGACTGACAAATACAGAAACACGCCAGTGGCACCGCGTGCTTTGTTAAACATTTACGCCTTAAAATCTTTGAAGAAATAGCTTTAAAATCAAAAATACCAGGTGGTTATGTGCAGTAGAGTTTAAAATCTTGTTTCCAGCTAAGCCAAGGTAAGCATCGGTGCAACGAACAAATCTTATGCTAGATTGAATTCTAGGCACTTGATATTATGTCAACGTTTCATTTTATAAGTGGAAGCTTCAAGAATAAATGCATCCAATATTCGTGGAAGTAAATTCACTAACACTGACTGCAGAAATGCGTGAAAAATGACCAAACTGATCACAAAATACATTGCAGGTGGTTAAAAGTTTGTATCTCAGCCCATCGTTATTTATCATGATGACTTCGCATCTGGTGCCATCAATTTTCACACCTTAGCGGCTTACGGTGTGAAGCACTTATTTGGCATCATTAATCTATTTTCGCATTCGGTATTCAAGAACAACATGACGGTATGGAAACGCATGAGGGTGGCACGGAAAGTAGAAGAGCTCATCTACTTCTCGGACTTTAAAAAAGGGAATTCAACTTAAATTATGCCTTTTGTTGCTCTTTTCAGGGGTCTACCCTATGCGATCTTTGATCGCGTCATAGAAAACTGCGGCTTGACACAAAATCGTAGAGTGCGTCATGCGCCTTCTATAAACATGACTATAATTTGGATCGTACTTTGACGCACACAGCTCCTATCCAGCAAAGTCGTGGAAATGTCCACAACGAGCTTATTTTTGTTTATTGTCACAAATTCGATATCTGAAACCAATTAAACACGTTTAACGTGCTAAGCTCTCTAAAACTGGAAAAGATTTTAACTAGCAGTTACAACGCGTTTATGTTTACGGGATCAAAAGATTCCGATGAGCATTCACGATGAGGGAGCTTCTAATTGCGCATCATCTCCAAATTTTTCTCCGTATTCATGAAAGTACTTTACCATCAGAAATTTTGTAGTATACAATGCTTCAGCACACAAGCGTTTCCTTGTGTCATCTTTATCTATCCATTCAAGTTTTATCAAAACGTGTATTTGTTTGATTTATGAAAACCGCCACATGCATTTTAAGGATTAATTTACTGAGAATTTGTTTGAAACTCTGTAAATCGGTTGATAAAAAACCTTCCACAAACACATTTACATTATTTTTTTGCAATTTCTACGATAAAGCAACCGAATCAAGTCCATTTATTATTGTATTTCTAAACCTGTGTTTTTAAGGTTACCTAGCGCTCTTGCGAGTTTTAACTAGATTACCAGGTGTGCCAGTAATTTCCTTAAGGAAAGACACTGTGCTTTATTAAGCGATTACCCCAGGCTTTGAGCAAAGAAAATCAATTTCGTTTTAATAAAGAGCAAATAAAAAATATTTACGCTTGATATTTTTTAGTTGGTAATAATTACCATTTATGAACTGTGGTGTCAAATGGCAATGGTCTCAAGCACCTTTCAAGTGAAGCAGACGTTTTCAAAAGGCAAGTGGCATTCAGAATGTTTGCTTACATACCCAAATGATGCACAAACATAGCCTTGCATCAACATACCAGATTGGTTGGGCTGATACGCTATGAGTGTGTAGGTCTGATTTCCCTGATGACTTTGAATGCCCGGAGCCTGGCCGACGACTCTGGCCAAGTCAGCACGGCGGACACTGGCGTAGTGGGGCTCCGTGGGGCGCGGTGCAGGCGGCGAGGTGACGCCGGCTCTGTCAGACCCCGGCTGAGCAGCGAGCAGGGCCTTCTGCTGGGACAGCCTTGTCTTTCTTCCCAGACTAGAGGCACCTGTGGCGCACGGAGCTGAAGGAATTCGTGAGCCAGCTGACGAGGAGAGGACACCATTGGCAGATGAGGTGTTGCGTTTTCCATCATTCAGGGATTTCGAAATTGAGGACATTAGACTCTTTGTGGCCTTTCTGAGATCGGGAATTTCGGCGACGTCAATAACGCTCGATGTTTCGGACGTCTAAAAAAACGAAAACGCCTTTTAAATTTTTCACATAACCGCAATTTATTCCTAAACTGGTTTTTGGCTTATGATCGCATTTAGGTAAGCCGATTCATGTGCGCTGAAAAGAATATGCAACTTGTGATTTTCGTACGGCGGTACACAGAGCAATCACAGCCTCAAGCTTGTGCATGCTAGTAACGCTTTTTAGACCTTTTAAAAGAATTACTAGGGTTATTTTCAGGACTACCTCAAACAGAGAATGCCGATCCTCTTGAAGTATTCAAATTACGCATATTTAAAGAAAATCTGTAGGGCCTGACAAAGGAAACAGACCAGGGACCTAACTTCACCATTTTAATTTATGGCACTCTCGTGAACGTGTGGGATTCTGCAGTGATAGATCCAATATCTACTGAATCTATACTGGAAATAATTGTTTCATTGAATAGTAACATTCAATTTAATGTAGATCCACGGAAATTCCACTGCACTTACGAGAGTGCTGTCCTCTATCTACACCCACATTATTGATGTCATTGCAGAGAGTTCGCCTAGTATGTCCCATGGGAAATTCTGACCAACATTTGTGAGAAGGTCTACCAGTAACCATTCAAATGTTATCTTTTCATTGGCCCTGATGTTCAGGAACGCAGACCAGCAGAGCAACCAAAGGGCTAACCCGTGGTGACGGATGTGGTTACCAGGTTGCCTTAATCTATAGTCATGCCTGTTCCCAAGATTTTCAGCAAAAGTTTATGTTCGTGTCATTAGCTAGGTGCTAAGACCCTAAGACACAAAATCATTCTTAAAAGAAAATTCCCCTTGTTACGACGTGATTATTTCCTGTAGTGACGTTTATTAGAATCGAAGCACAAATCTTGCGCATTGAAAAACATTTTCTGGGGTTTTGAAGTCGAAGCGTTCCTGACTGGCCACTTTAGAGTGCAACCATGTAAACTATCAGTTCGGAGGGATGCGCTGTCCAGGTAAAAGACTGATGCCTCTTCACGACTTAAAGTTAGGCTTCTTTGCAAATTTAAATGTTAAAAATTAACATGTCATCTTTGTTGACGAAGAAACCCACGACACGTTAAAACTAACTTTAATGTTCAATTTTGCTTTAAAGCTCTGGTTCTGTTACACTTTAAAAAACCATTATTTTCACTAAGATTTGGTTTTTGATTCTCCTTGTTTTACCGGTTTTGTATTTTATGCAAGCTGAAATGAACCTATTTGTATTTATAAGAGAAAAATAACATTTAGACCGGCCTCCTGTGCCTATTCAAATGCTCGTTTGTGGAAACGGACAAAGTGCTCTCATTCCCTTTTTGGTACTTTATCTGCGTGCAGTAGTTAGGTATTAAGAATGTACCTTCCACAAGCAACCAAGTTTTTGGATTCCTTTGTGTTAATAGAAAACACACAACATATTGTGACATCACTAAACACTAAACGGTGGAAACAAAAGGTGGTGGATTTAGTTAGTTTGTAGAAGAAATAAATTAACTAAGCTCGTTAAATATCGTCAAATGACGAAATACATGATATTCAACTTCGTCGTCTAGGGCTTCTTTTGGATTTTTTACGTCAATAAGGTTGAAAGCTAAACCACGATTATGCCAGATTTAAATAAATGAAACTAATTAGTTATGCAGAAACACACAAGGGATTTCTATGCAGGTTGGAATAACTTTACAGAACCCGAACAAAATAATATAAATAACTTTAACGTAAACCACTGTCTAAGGTTCTAAAATGATATCAAGAAATGGGTTGGCGTACATTTAAGGAAAAAAATTTTCCGCTCAAGAGTCCAAAATCAAAATAACTTATGTAGAATGACGATGTTAATAATGTTTGCCCTAATTCATCATCAGTGTTGCAACCTCATTGTCCCATATTTGAATAACTGCTGGAACCCACAATAAATAATGACATTTCAGTAGCAACTTAGCAAGGAACACTCAGACACCACCTAACACTTATAAATAAAAGGGTATACAGAAAAAATTGGTTTTTTGTAACTTCATTGTACACAATATTGGACATTAGAAGATAAATGGGTATTTGAACGAAATGAATTGGAGGAAGGCATTTGAAAAAACCCTGTCACGAGGTTAGTCTTGTTTTAATTTTTTTTAAAAATACATTAAGAAAGGATGACACCTGTCCAATGTTCAACTCTACAAAAGACTAAGAGAATGGTCGATAGGAAACGTCTTCTGAAGTCGGCCATCGAAAATGCAGAAATTAGAAAAGTTGGCATTCGCTAAGGAGTTTGTGCGTGATCCAGATTCTCTTCATGCTGCATGTGGTGGTTATGGACACCTGAACTTTCTTTTTACCTATAAGCTTTGGATTAGACTGCGCCTTAATAAGGCAATCCTTAAAACGGTGCATGTTTTCTAATCCATCCACCCATCCACCCAACGACAGCAGTAGACTATTTGCGCCAATGGTGATGTTCGTACTACAAAATTAAGTTGCGTGGTTTTTACCATTTTTAGTGTAACATTCGCAGTTGAATTTTCCTCAAGATACCCGGCCCCAGGCCCATTCTACTTAGAACTGTCTTCGTAATACCATTAAACACAAAGACAAAAAAGTTAAGCTAAAAAAATTAAAATGTCTATTCATCGATCTCATCCATTTATTCCGAAAAAAACCAATTTAACGCAAGTGGCCACAATTCGATGTCAATTGGTGCAGGTGACGCTGTGGCCAACTGAAGTTCACGTACAACAGTTTCCTACCACTCAGGTAAGACCAGGTAAGACTTGCTGTGAGTTAAACAGACGAGCTACAAGGTAATTTAGCCCAGTTGACAAACGGGAGCCAAATTCAAGAAAGCACATTATGGCAGTTATTCATCGAAAAACGACGAAGTGGATGCTAAATTATGGCCATTTGACTGAAACAGCGTATTCCACTTTTCCAAAGGTGAATTATTTTGCGTCTGTATACGCTCAGAAGCCTTTTTCCAGGATGGTGGCAGCCTGTACCAACGAGGCACCGATTCGCAAGACATGGTTTTTAAATTGCTGTCCATGATACCAGAAAGTGCCAAAAACCTTTAATGGTAATGTGATAGAGGTATAGCTGGGAACGCACCAAAGCAGGAGAGCCATTAAGGTGCTCCTGCAACTTTTACTTTGTAACTGATGGTATGGACAGGCAAACTTCAGTTTAACTCATGTCAGTTTAATTCTTTCTGTAGGCACAAACTGATACCATATACTAAAGGAATTAATCAACATACTTTGGAGTTAGGGACTCGATGATAGCTTAAGATTGGAAAAAAATTGCAACAACTTACATGACAGGTTATAGTCCACAACAAATAACCATGCGAGGAAACAATAATTGTAAAAAGACGAACTGATTATATCTACTGAACTGGTGCTTGTGTGGGTTTAACCTTGTCGACAGAAAAATAGACGTTTCCCGCTTAAACGAACCCATTGGTCTGCACAAACGTACAACAGGAAACCGTGCGCGTTCTGATAGGTGGAAAATTAACGATCGGTTGTTCCATAAGCCAATCATCTGCCAGAGAGCTAACGACGTTAGCGTTCGCACGGGCGTGGGAGATGCGCAGATAACCATTTTGAGCAGGAATCAATCAGTGCTGCAAGACTTTTACTTCTGTTATGCTTCTGCTTTTTTACCACAACAAATTAAACCACTCCTTAATAAAAGCGCCCTCCTAATAATTATCTTTTGAGTAATTTCAAGAATCCCCTGGCGTCTGATTCATCGATGACCAGTCAATGGTTAAGGGTACGCAAAGTGGAAAGTTGGTTTATTCAAAGTGTCTAGAACAAAAGGTTTGGTTTTAAAGGCTTATAAACGAAGATATTACCATCCACATCTCTGTTCAAGAAATGCAGAGATTACACATTAGTCTTCGAGAAAATAACAAGTTTGCCAAATTTAACCGAAATAGGAGTATCCTAACATGGGCGCAGGAGAATTTCCATACTCGTGAGTAACACTCTGCTAGTGAAAAAGCACTGAATTTTCAAGTGATTTGCAGTGGAATCACTGACCATAATGATCTCAGTTCTATTTCAGGTAAATTTAGTCGACAAAAGTAAATCGGTGAGTGGTCAATATGAGATAGTACATACCGAAAATCAGCACAACCAGATGAAACACTGATCGAATAAATGTACAGGAAATGTGTGTGAATGGGGACATTTTGTAAACGCTCTTCCATGATTATTTTTAATTAACACAAAAACCAAGAATTGTAGACCTTTAGCAAAACTGCAATGTAAAACGCGCTTCTAGAGGTGGTGGCTCATTCACATGAATGCGTACTTCGTCTCCATAGATGCAACGGGATTCTGACGAATCAGGGATGCAAGCCTGTGCTCCTTCACCACCCTTTCTGATCGCGGCTGCCCTCGTCGTTACATTTTTGCGAAATAATCAAAAGTGAGAAAGAAACCTATCAAGTATGCAGGAGTTGTGTTTGCCAGAGCAATTTGACAACATCATGAACGCACACCCTCTTACATTAAATTAATAACGTTTCCAGTTAACGACTAAATAATTGTGAGAACAGTATGATGCTTAGTCCGCATGACAGAGTAAAATGGTCTGGAGACTACATTTGCGTTCCTTTTTAAATAAAGGGTCGAGGGGCTCTTGGGTTTTCATTTCATACAACGAATAAAATTTCGAATACTCCATTAAATAAATAAATATCAACATGATAAATCCTACAATTACCAAGTTTTCGTTAAAAATTACCTCAAAAAATCCGTATTCCTACATGTTTACAAGTGCCATTTTTTGCAGTTATTGAGGAATCTAATTTATTTGGCCCAAGATCAACCTCGTTTTATTACAAAATGAGTACTTGCAAAATATAAGTACAAATAAAAATCACCGCAGTCATAAAACAGCGATTTCCATTTCTTCAAGTTAACTTTGCTTCGTGACGAACGTTAAGTCATTCAATTTACACCTTTCGAATGAAATAGGTGATATTACTTGTCGATAAACTGGTTGGACCAGAAACTACGAACACTGTCGAAGATATTCTTTGAACGATTAGTGCAATTTCACGTCAATTAAGAAGGAAATTTGAGTGAACTTTTCCAAAATAACTGAATAGCCTTACAAAAGTTCATAATTATTGTAAATTTCTTTCAAGTCCTTTAGCGTATAAGATTGGTAAAAAACGAGACCTTAAAATGCTAGCGTGAAAGGCAGTAAAGAAATGTGGCCCTCAAAGAGGCTGGTTTGAGAGTCCACATGTCCGAGCGTTGTAGTGAGGTTTCAAGGTCATGGCGACTTGTCGATGGAAGTGAGTGGTTAAGTGAACG